TATAAGTGTTAATTTGAATAGTTTATTAATCATTTTCCAACTCAAATGTTTCTAAAAGCCACCAACTACTCTTAAATACAAATGGTTTGTAAATTTCATTACTAATGACTAACTTTTAAAGTATAAAAATACAAATATTAAGCGCTTATAAGTCAAGAATACAGCATGTGTAGCTGTATTTAGAAACTGCTTACTAATGTCTATTATTGTAGAGTTAATGCTTTACGGATAATTAAATATGAACTATTTGCTATGCTTAATAGATGATTAATAGTGTGTAATTTTTATAAAGTGTTACCAAACAGGCCAACCATAAACAAACTGGCAATTCACAACTTAGGTTTTTAAAGTTGTGTTCACATCTGACAGTTTTGGGTTTAGTTACAATGAACTCTGATGTTTGGCAATTCTGTGTGGAGTTTGCATGTTCTCCCCGTGTTCGTGTTGGTTTCCTCCGGGTGCTCCGGTTTCCCCCACAAGTCCAAAGACATGCGGTACAGGTAAATTGGGAGAGCTAAATCGTCCGTAGAGTGTGTAAATGGAAGTGTATGGGTGTTTCCCATTGATGGGTCACAGCTGGAAGGGCATCCGCTGCGTAAAACATATGCTGGATAAGTTGCCGGTTAATTCCGCTGTGGTGACCCCAGATTAATAAAGGGATTATGCCGAAAAGAAAATCAATGAAAGAACTCTGACGTAATTGCTATGATTGTGTGGTTCATTGCAAAAAGTGTGAACCGTGCCATTCTACCCTAGACATATACCAAACACGCAGATCCAAACCACTGAAAAATGGATGTAGTCCACTTTCAAGTGAAATCTGGTGCGGATTGACTGAAATATGAATGCAACACAGACCAAACTCACCACATAAAATCACCATGAGACCATTTGATGCAGTCTATATTACATTTTATGATGATATTTTACGTGCATGCTTTGTTGGTTTTCATGTATGAGGGGATGCCAAGAACATATCCAAGTTGGCATCCATCTAAATTGGCTAGCTTCTAAAATGACCAAAATAATTTGAGTTCGTTTTCAGGCTTGTTTTTTGATCACATTTTTTTCATTCCATCAGCCTAAGGAATGCTGAACATTCTTCATGCTACAGGGATAATGCATCGTTGTTCTGCTGTGTTTGCATTTGTATCTCCGTCAAGGATTATCCATTTGCACGTCGCAGATTGGACGGCTCAAGAACATCGTACATCCGCTGCTGTATTGACTCTCTGTCCTATATTTAATATTTTGTTTACACTGTACGCCAGCACTTGTCAAGCAGAATTTATGCTGACGAATATTTCAAAGGGAGATGAGTCTAATTGCCTTCTAATTAAAAGTGCTGATATAGCTGCGGTTATCTTCACTCGCTATGGCTGCCAGTGGAATATATTTGCATGCTGTTGTTGAGGAGGGAAATAGTGTGAATAAAAATGTCTCAAGCAAATTGGGATGAACTAAAATGAGGAGCAGACCAAAAATAGTCAGCGTTCAGTGTAACTTTGGGTGTAATCTCTAAAACACAGCTGTGTGCCGGAACAAGACAGTGGGAAGTTGCCAATCAAAGCTTTGGAAAAATAAAATAAAATCAAATAAAAAACAACTGTTTAGAAATGCACAGAAACAGCTTTGGTGAATAAAGCTGCATTTTTTTCCCAATTCAGCAAAGAAAATCATTTAGCAGCTTGTCATTTTGTCAAGTTTTTTACTAAACAAATACATGCATTGAATACATCCATTAAAACAATTTGTGTGTATATATATGTTTATACACCGTCTCTCAAAAAGATCCTAGCAAAATTAATTCGGTCAGAATTTCATCAAAATACCTCCAACTTTAATTATACTTTGTAATTAGATGGCAAATAGATGAAATGATATGATATGTGTATACATTCTCCACCTCACCTGATTTATATCACTGCATTACCTTCTTTTTGTGCATCTTCTTGGCCCTGTACCATGCCTTCGACAGTGGTGATATTTTCAACAGTATGGGCAGTGTGTGGACGACCACTCACGGCCACATGACATACTGTTTCAGTGCATTCAATTTTCACCAACAAGTAATCCAATTGACCTTTTGTCCAGTTTTTAGTCAGAAATTCAAGAATAAAATGTGTAGCCTTTCAGTTCTCATAATGCTTTGATTAAACATTTATTTTCATTCGAAAATACACTCTTTATTTAAGTTTTAAGCAGCTAAACGAGCAATATCGCATGAGTAGCAGTGCAATATGGCTTTATATCGAAACTGGTGGAAGGCATGCGTTGGCATAAGGCTGTAGACCAAATGCTTTAGTGTCCCACCAGCAGCCACATCGCACTACTACGAGTGGGATATTGCATTTATACAACAGTTTGACAACATAATCGTGTATATAAATAAAAAAATTCAAACATGGAGAGTCTAAAAATCCTTTTCTAAGAGGAATTATCTTCAACCATTCCTGAGCTGCACCATTTTCTGCAGCTGACGTCAGAACAACAGAAACCATTGCTTCTTCACCAACTTCACTTTAGAGCTAGTATTTGAATGATTTTCTAGTGTAATGTCCAAAGTGATAACAAAACAGGTGATTTTGCTGACACTTTAAGACTAAACGGCATGAAATGCCATCAATCAACAGAGATTTCCCAGTATTTCTCTGTTGCAATTGGGAGATCACAATAATTATTCCAGAAAAAGCCAAAGCAATGCAATTTCTACCAGATTACTATTGCGTTTGTGATTAACGCTAAACGCATGTGGGAATCTCTTTTTTCTTTTTTTTACTGATCTAGTCTGCAGTAACGAAAACAGGAAACTCATTGGAGACAAATAGATGTTTGGAATTTGGATGTTCTCCCGTATTTATGTGGGTTTTCTTCGGGTGCTCCGGTTTTTCCCACAATCCAAAGACATGTGCTATAGGTGAATCGAATAGGCAAAATTAGCCATAGTGTATGTGTGTGCATGTGAGAGTGTATGGATGATTCCCAGTACTGGGATGCAGCTGGAAGGGCATCTGCTGTGTAAAACATGTCCTGGATAAATTGGCGGTTCATTCCGCTGTGGTGACCCTTGATGAATAAAGGGACTAAGTCGAAGGAAAATGAATGAATGAATGTTAAATGAAATGAATGCATTAATGTGAACAATATACTGTACTTAGTGAGCAGGAATCTCTATTGTCTACAGATCATTTGAATATATAAAAGATATAATATACAAGGAAACAAATAGAGGACACATTTTGAGTTGTGTAACTAAACTGACTAACAAGGTCGCCTCTGGTAAAGAGAGCATTGTTTCTTGATGTGGTCACTACGGGTGGTTCTGTGTATTAGTGAATAATAGTGCATTATTTACAAGTGCAGGCTAGCAGAATATAAATAATGCATTGGTCTGAATGAAGTTGGATGAAAATGTAAGAAAATTGCAATTAAATATGTATGTTTAGACATCATTAATGCAGAAAACAGCATCCATGACCTCCTCCTGCCAAAGGGCATAAAAACAATGCTCTTTAGGTAGAGCACAGGCATTTCTTTCTTTTGTGTTGCTCATGTAAGATTTATTTGTGCAACAAATGTACATTGGCGCATGCCTCCATTTGAGCTCTGCTTCTTTTTTGAACCTCAAATAAGAAAAGCTATAGTAAGAAAATGCAAGGTTTAAATAAATGACTATTTAATTTGATTGTCCTGACTTTGCATTGAAATTCTGTTGATGAAATTTAATCCATTGCACTTGTGATTGAATGATAAAACACTGACTATACTCTGTCTGGGAGTTTTTATGTATAAAAATAGATTTTGAAACATAGTCCCTTGAGAATAACGCCACTTTCCTGCCCCCCAAAACATACATCGGATGTAATCGCCATATGCCATTTTCACGTGCCATTCAGAAATCTCCCTTCTGTTTTTTTTTTCCAGCTCTTGGCAGTTGTTTTTCTAAAAGCAAGTCCCTTGATGTCCTTGCCAGTGTGTAGTGCAAGAGAACATCAGCCAAGAGCTGGAAAAAACACTAGCCTTAGGCATCAGTGGCACGTCAAAGCCATAACCACTGGGCCACAAACACATACAAATGCATATATACACATTTTAAGAGATAGTTCCCTTAAAAAATCTGTCATCATTTATTTGTTACTTGTTCCAAACCAGATTTTAAATTTAGTTTTTTCTTCTAATACTAAACCAAAGTCGGTGACCCGGGGGCGTTACAGACTGTACCAAAAAGATGAAGGAGATTCCAGGAGTTTTCCGGGAGAAATAACAAAATGGGAGGGTGGCGGTAGATGAGTCTGAAATATGGGAGACTTGCAGGAAAAACGGGAGTGTTGTCAGGTATGTGTTGGAAAACAGTAACCATTGAATTACATGGTATTTGTTTTTCCCACTATACAAGTTAATGATTACAAGTTACCAACATTCAACAAAACAAAACAAAACAAAAAACATAATGAAACTAGTGTGGAACAAGTAAAGAGATAGTAAATTCATTTATTTTCCTTTGGCTTAGTCCCTTATTTATCAAGGGTCGCCACAGCAGAAGGAACTATCAACTATTCCTGCATATGTTTTACACAACGGATGCCCTTCCAGCCAGAACCCACTACTGGGAGACATGCATACACTCTTACATTCACACACTACAGTCAATTTAGTTCATCCAACTCACCTAAAGCGCATGTCTTTTGACAGTGGGGAAAACCAGAACTCCTAGAGTATAACACAGGGAGATCATCAAACTCCACAGCGAAATGCCAACTGGACAAGCCGGGACTTGAACCAGCTGTGAGGTGACAGTGCTGAAAGAGTAAATGATGACAGAATTGTATTTTTTGGATGAACTGTCCCTTTAAGCTCAGTTAGAATCTAAAAAATTGCTCAATTTTATGATGATCAGATAAACTTTTTGTAGCAGGATGTGGCCTTTACAAAAGTTTTGTCCTTGAGACCTGTGTTTTAGGTGTTATGGGAGATTCACCAGATTTTTTTTCTCTTAACAGCGTGAAAGACTGAGGAATATTGAGAGGATCTGCTGCCTGCTGCGAAAGGTATGTGATGTTTTTCTTTATCTGTGGGGGGATTTTATGTTTCAGAATGAGCCATTTTCAAACATTCAATTCAATTCATGTTTATTTCTATAGAGCTTTAACAACGTAGATTGTGTCAAAGCAGCTTCATTGAACTTCTAGTACATTAAAACAGTGTCAGTCCCGTTTTCAGAGTCTAGTTTAGTTAAGTGTGGTTTAATTTTCACTGCTGAAAGTCCAAAAACACTGAAGACCAAATCCCTTGATGCACACATCCACAAGTCCCAAACCAAGCAAGCCAGTGGCAACAGTGGCGAGGAACAGACTTTACCAAGGGACGAAAGTTTGAAACATCTTGGAAACGTGTTTTAAATTGAATTATATATTAAATAGTATAGATGAACATATTTCTATGAGTGGGGTCTAGTTTTTGTGATGTTTTGTTTCAAAGTAAGTATTCTATTGGTCAGTACACAGCTTCTTGACTGATCAAATGTGCATTTGGTACTTTTATGAATTTAACAACTAAATTATATATACATATTTTTACATCCAAAGTCATTGTTAAAGGTTTATGAACTAATCCGGCCTGATACAAGATTAATAATATTATTATTATTTTTGATTAAAGAAAAGAAGCACATGAACGTTCAACAAAATCACAGCTTAAATAAAAGATAGAACTGCAGAAGTATTAATGACTGGTAATTTAAAAGCTGTTCATTATATTTACGAAAACAATATTCCATGTTTATATCAAAATATGCCTACATAGAAATAATTTGAAAGTGTATGGAGGCTTGATACCATAATTATATTATATTATATTATATTATATTATATTATATTATATTATATTATATTATATCATATCATATCATATCATATCATATCATATCATATCATATCATATTATATTATATTATATTATATTATATTATATTATATTATATTATATTATATTATATTATATTATATTATATTATATTATATTATATTGGTCATGGTCATATGGGCAATGGTGCAATGTGTAGCACCATTGCCTCACAGCAACAAGATTGCTGGTCCGAGCCCCGGCTGGGTCTGTTGGCATTTCTGAATGGACTTGAATGTTCTCCCCTTGTTCGCATGGGTTTCCTCTGGGTACTCTGGTTTCCCCCACAGTCCAAAGACATGCGGTATAGGTGAATTAAATCAGCTAAATTGGCCGTAGTGTATGATTGTGTGAATCTGAAACTTTTTCAAACCTATAAAGTTATTTTTCTGTATTTATTACAAAATAAACATCCTTCTAAATGAAGAAGAATATATCTAGAAATATCTACACCTCAAAAATCCTCTTTGAGGTCTCTAATAAAACGTTGTATGAAACATCTGATGCTTCAGCTTTCTTTGAAGCTCATTAAAATCATATTGACAAAACTGCAGCACCAGCTTTACCATTTTGGCTATATTAGATGAGTTCATTATTTAGTCACTTTTTTTTAAACAGCAAAACATTCTAATCGTCACTATTATATTCCTAATAATTTATTATATATTAACCAAAAGTATTTTAAAGTGTTTCCTCACACCATTTTAGCATGAAAACTGGAAAGAATTGTGTTTGAGCATTTGAATCCAGGCGCTGTTAGAGAAGGCCAGAACCTGTTATGTCCCATATATTGTGCCCACATCAGCAGAACGCCTTCATGAGTAATATGTCTGGTCGTCTCGAGTCCCAGCTGCTCCATGTGCATGTGCAACTAGCAGAAAAGGTTTCTGCTGTCACTCGGTTTCACCTGACTGCAAATGTAACAGAAAACACTGTCTGACAAAAAACTGTGTCCACAAGGGCATCACATGTGCTCGAGCTGAACTGCTTGTAATATTACAAACACCACACTTAGGTTCACAGGTCTGAATTGTGATCAAATGTGTTAAACCCATTAAATTAGTGACATCTATGCAGTGCATCAATCACTATAGCATGTTTTAGCAATTGTAAATAGACCATTTAGTATTTTTATAGCATCTTTTCCATTGATTAATTCTTATTTATTATTTATCTATTAGTGCTTACTCTTTAGTTTCTGTGTTTATGCTTTAGAACCTAGTTTCTTTTGTAATGTTATTAGGTCACACTTCATTTTAAGATTCAGTATTTGCTATTAATAATTCTTTAACTATGAATTTTGCTTATATTAACTCCTGTTTGGCTGCTTAGTAATAGCTATTAAGGTAGTAGTTGAGGTTTAGGTGTTGGGTAGAATTAGGGGTGTAGATTAAAATCATGTGAAATACAGTATAAGTATTAATAAATGTCCAATATTTTGGAATGTGTGTAAGTTAAAGCCTTTTGGCAAGATATTATTAACATAATTGACCAAATTTTATTAAAGAAATTACCATTTGATTCTAAGATATATATCCTGTCAGTCCTCTCTTACAAAGCAAAGAGGTCATATTCATAGAAATGTGTACTTAACAAGCTAAACGTATTATTGCTTTTAATTAGAAAAATATAAATTAACCTAGAATTGGAAAGTGGATAAAAGAAATGGCATCACATATGTCAATGGAAAATATCACTTACTTTACATTGTCAAAAAAACAAAATGTGTTTAAAGATATCTGGAGACCCTTTAATAATGTCCTAAAGTAAATGTAAATGTTGGCAGTCTGCTACAATAAGAACAGGCTCTGAGGGAGTATCGTAGTATCATGGTCTAAACAAACTTGGGAAACACGCTTTACCTTATTTAAACATATCCTCCTTTTTGTTTGTACATGATTATCATTATGTAACCGTGTAATCTGTTGTAATATGCAATCTAAAAAAAGTGATAAATATATTTTATAAAAAAGTTGTCAATGCGTTAATAATAGGCATGCTAAAAAGCAACTTGTTGATAGTGGGAATTGGTCCCTATACTGTGTGCAGTACATGTTAGTTAATAATAGTACTTATTCTGTGTGCTTCTCAATTCTTATTTGTTCATCCTCATTTTGTTAAAAGTCTAAAATGACCTTAAAGTTACTTTTTGTTCTATTTTTTGTTACCTTTCCCTTTTTGGGTAACACTGATTATTATTATTATAATTATTTTTATTTAGGATATATTTTTCACATTCTGATTCCAATGACTAAATATTTTAAGGAATAAAATATTTGATATTCTTTGAAAGATTATAGCAGTATTATGCTATTAAATTGCCATACTGGCATTATACACTTACTGGTCACTTTATTAGGTACACCTATACAACTGCTCGTTAACGCAAATTTCTAATCAGCCAATCACATGGCAGCAACTCAATGCATACAGGCATGTAGAAATGGTCAAGACGATCGGCTGCAGTTAAAACCCGTGCATTAGAATGGGATTTAAGAAGAGAGGGGTCTGGATGCAGACCTGGTGCAGTGCAATCAGGGCTGCATCCAATGCTTTTAATGGCCTCACCTAACCCCACCCCTAATCCTACACGTCACAGTGACGTCACTAGCTCCATTTGAGTGCATTGTGTCTGACAGTGCATCACTGAGTGATGCAGTCTCAGCTTGCATCATAAAGGCTGCATCCAGATACTATATTGTTTAAGGATGGTGATTTAAGTGATTTTAAGTGACTTTAAGGCTACTTCCAGCAGGATAACGCACCATTATCATAAAGCGTGAATCATCTCAGACTGGTTTCTTGAACATGACAATGAGTTCACTGTACTCAAATGGCCTCCACAGTCACCAGTTCTCAATCCAATAGAGATCCTTTGGGAAGTGGTGGCACAGGAGATTCGTGTCATGGATGTGCAGCTGACGAATCTGCAGCAACTGAGTGATGCTATCATGTCTATATGGACCAAAATCTCTGAGGAATATTTCGAGTACCTTGTTAAATCTATGCCACAGAGGATTAAGGCAGTTCTGAACGCAAAGGAGCACTGAAACTAGGAATTACTACTAACTAAAGATAAAGGATTAGCAGCCTAATTTAGCCTAACTAATTTAACATTTAAATTAGGTACTGGTAGCATAAAAATAGTATGATTCATATTTAAGTGTAATAATAGCTTGCCGTATATCCTCCCATTCTTTTTTGTCTCTCAGTGGGGATCTTCACGCACACGACGCCTGCTGTTTGTCATTTATTATCATTATTAATTATCTTTGTTGTAAACACTTAGCTTAAGGCTCTTATCACTTCATAATGGGTTACGGAATCTTTGCTTTGACTGACATGAGCATAATGATCATTTATGAGAATCAAACCAGAGTAAATAAACATTCATTCCTATTCTGCACAGGTCCTAACAGTTGAGGATCTCTTTACTCAGCAAATAAGAGTTTTGTGTATTTATGTGGGAGAGAATAAACAGTTTTGTTGTTAGTGTGACTATATTTTATTGCTGAGTGCGTCTGTGGTTTGAGCATTTTATCAGAATGTGACGTTCAGCTCTGCTCTCAGGTATTCAGTGACTAAAGTAGCAATAGATTATTTTCCCTTACCAAATGTGTGGGGTACTTTTCACAGCCAGCAAACTAACATGCATGTTTTCTAGTTGTTAGAATGAATGTCAGACTTTGACATCTGTGTGGTTTTGTGAGGATTCACCATAACACACAGATCGTGAAACGTCTGGGAGAATAAAAAGGAATAATGGTTTGTTTGGATGAGTTCGGAGACTGTCAGACAAACTAATGCTGAGTCACGCAGAGCTCCGTGCAAAGCGGCAGCATATTTTTACACAACTGCTAACACGTCCTTTCAGGATCCATAACTCAGATACTGGTCATTTACACACATAAACATAAAAATGCATGTAAAACAACATTCTGACCAATACTTATTGTCATATATAAAAGTCATCCTATTAGGTTGTACTTAATTTAAATAAGTAGAAACCATCTCTTTTTCAACAGTAAAACCTACTAAATTACAAATATTATATCACAAGTATTATATTATTATACAAATATAAATAAGCAATATCACACGATTAGCAGCGTGACATGGCTGTATACCGGCACTGGTGGGAGGAGTG